ATAAAGAATCTAACTTTTCATTCTAAAATAAAGCACATAGATGTTCAATATCATTTTGTTCGAAAAATGGTAAAAGATGGAAGCATGAAAATAAAAAAGATTCACACAAAGGAAAACCTAGCAAATGTCTTGACCAAACTAATCAACAGCAACAAGTACATATGGTGCAGATCCTCATAGGGCCTAACTAAAAGCAACATAAAGAAGGTAAGTGTAAAAAAGATGGATTATAAAGGTGTGAAAGCATGATTAAGATCATAGTCTTCAAATGCAAGATTGTTAAAATCCACACATAACAACAAAGTCTACCTCATGTTTTTTCTAATAGTGCATATGAAAAGAAAAAAAATTGAATAAGATGATACATAAGATAACATCAAATGAAGGGACTTAGAGCTTATAGAAATGCTTAATTTATGAATAGAAATACATGTAAAAAAAAATATCATTCTTCATTTATAAGAAAGTTTTGTGAGGTGTTTTCTCTTAGTCTTAAAAAGAGTAAAATTATTCTCTTCTTAAAGAATAGTGGTTATATTATCACATTATTTCTCATAGTGAATTTCCCTTTATACTTACCCATGGATGTAGCCAAATTGGTGAATCACGTAAATTCTCGTATATCTCATTTTCATTATTAGTCTCTTAACTCTTATTTTAGTCACATGTTGTCGCTTCTACAAAGGTGTTAAAATCCCAACAATAAAAACAAAAAAAGTTATAGGTAAATTCTTTATTTTACAATAAGGTCACTACATGACAAAGTAAAGATTTTAAAGTGCGTGCAAGTTTGTAACAAGGCAAATGCATGATATGATCATTGGTTCCCAAGATTAAGAGTTTTCAAGCATGCATGAATATTTAATTGAGATTCATGGTATTAATTCTTAATGACAAAAAAAAAAAAGTTAAGGTACTCAACCAAGCAAGAAGTTTTTGCTATAGAAGAAGTTTTGCTAATCAAGTGCAATTGCAATTTGTTCAAAGAAGCAAAGAAAAGATTCAAAGCCATTAAAAAAACTATTGTTACCTTACAACTAAGACAAAATAATGAAGATAAAAGATTTTGCCTTTAACAAAGCAAAAAAGTTCATAAATCCAAGGCAAGAAAAAAAAGTAAGGCGGATGGTGATTAAGAACTTTATCTAATGAATTAAGCTATGATCTTAGCAATATTGCATGAAATACTCAAGATGAATTTTATGCTAGTGAAGGAAATCAACAAGATGAGCCTTGTTTTTAGAAGAGAATAATCTTACTTCTAATTAGCTTAGGAGTATAATACTATCTATGCTTTAAACATATTCCTCACATGCTTTGGGTGAAGAGTTGGGGTCCAATTTTTCTTTGAACAAGGATACATAGATCCTACAAGAATTTTTCTATGATTATAATTCAAATTACCCTTTAGATCAAATAGTAAAATTGCCAAGGAAATAAAATTTCAAAGTGGATTGGGAAAAGCTTTTGTCAAAGTTCTATTCTATATTAGTTAGAGAATATGCATGTCAATCACAATTGTAAGACAATTCTTCTCAAATTATAAGTCACCAATTGATATTAGAATTATAATTCAACTTTGTTAAGGATAAACCAAAGGTAAAATGGATTTATAATTCTCTTTGTTCAATTACACTAGAATTATAATTTGAATTCATCAAGGAAAATCAAAGTTAGTTGGATTTCAAAGTTTACTAAAAATGCAAAGTGTAGGTAGAATATGTGCCAAATCAAATTAAATTTCAAGATATGTTCACTTTGCAAGCAAAATCATGTATGACCAAGTCTTGTGGGGCATTTATAGAAAAAAGGTCAAATTATATAATTAGTCCCTATATTTATATAGAATTTCAACTTTAGTCCTTGTATAACAATTAGGAAGAATGAGATCTTTATACAATTTAATTTAACAATGTTGGGCTAATTGATAACACTGTTACTTCATCTCTATTAAATAGCTAATATGGATGTTGACCAAGATAACATAACTATTGACCATGCTGACATGGTAACTAAGATTAATGAAATTAGTTGTTAAATTATACAATAGTTCTTATACTCATACGAAATATGAAAATTAATCTTTATACTCACACGAAATTTGAAATTTATTCCCTCTAAAATAAAAAAATATTTTAAATTTGTTTAGTTTTTTCAAAATTTAAAAATTTAAAAATATTTTAGTTCCTCTAATATATTAGCTTTTATTATATATAATTAATTATTAATAAAATCATATACATAATATTATTATCATTTATGTTAATCAATTATAATTTTAATAATTTAAATTAATATATCAAAGTTAATATTATTTTAATTAGTGTAAATATATTATAATTAGAACTTTCAAATTTTTTGGTTTTCACAAAAAAATTATTTAAATAATTAAGTTTAAATATAATTTAATAGTCTTTTAACATAACTAATAACATGAAATTAATATAGTAAAAATATATTAAAATAAATAAAATTTTATTTAAAATAGTATATCTAAAATTTATATAATTTATAAATAAACACATCAAAAAATGACTGAAAATAATTTTTAAAATAATTTAAATATATTTTAATTATAAAGTTTTTGCATTTTGTGAGCATTTGACTTATTTTGAGCTACAAAATCTCTAATATCCCATAATTTCTAATAACAAAAGAAAACACAAATTTAGAGTAAAAATATAATACTACAACTTAGAATTTTGTTTTGACAAAAATGATTTCCAAAAACCTAAATTTTGGAAGCCAAAACTTTGCAAATCATCACAAACAAATTTAAACCAATTTGTGTTATTTGTGATAATTTCTAAAGTTTTGCCTTCCAAAACTTAAGCTTTTGGAAATCATTTTTGCCTAAACAAAATTTTAAGTTATAGTATTATATTTTTACTTTGAATTTATGTTTTCCTTTGTCACTGGAAACTATAGGATATTAAAGATTTTGTGAGTCAAAATAAGCAAAATGCTAACAAAATGAGAAATTTTCATTATTGAGAAAAAATTTTAATTATTTTAAAAATTATTTTCAACAAATATTTTATGTGTTTAGTTATAAATTATATAAGTTTTAGTTATATTATTTTTAATAAATTTTTACTTATTTTAATATATTTTTACTATATTAATTTCATATTATTAGTCATGTTAAAAGATTGTTAAATTAGATTCAAACTTAATTATTTAAATAAGTTTTTTTAAGCAAAAAAAAATTGAAAGTTCTCATTATGATATATTTATACTAATTAAAATAATACTAACTTTGATATATTAATTTAGATTATTAATATTATAATTGATTAATATAAATTAAAATAATATTATTAATATTATATTAGTAATAATTAATTATATATAATAAAAATTAATACTAGACGAACTAAAATATTTTTAAATTTTAATATTTTGAAAATTTTTAAAAATATTCAAAATATTTTTTATATATTAAAGGGATTAAATTTCAAATTTTGTATGAGTACAATGATTAAATTTCAAATTTCATAGAATTATAGAAATTAAATTTCAAATTTTGTATAAGTATAGAGATAATTTGTATAATTTAATAACTGATTTCATCAATTCTAATTATCATATCAATAAATCAATACTAAGTTAACATGGTCAACGCCCATGTTAACATAATCAATAGCCACATCAACTATTTAACAAATATAAAATAACGGAGTCTTTAATTAGACCAACATGATCAAATTAAACTAGTATGAGAATTTAATTTTTGTGAATTATTGTACAGCGACTAAAGTTTAAATTCTATATAAGTACGAGACTAATTATATAATTTGACATAAAGAAAAAAAAATTCATCCAATTAAAAAGTGTCACATATTCAATGGAATTTCTTTAATTAATTAATTGAAAATTTTTTAAATGACAAATTGATTAATGTTATGTAGATTAATAACATCATTTAATTTAATCATATAATTAAATAATTAATTAATTTATGATTAATTAAATATGTTACTTGGTAATTGAAAATAAAATACTTAGCTTGACCAATCAAAATTCATCAATGAGTCATCTATTTTATCTCTTAATTAAATTAAAATAATTTAAAGATAAATTTAAATTTCGGCCAATCAAATTTTAAATTTCACTCATAAGTCGTCAATTTTATTTCTAATTAAATTATAATTGTTTAAAAATAAAATAAAATAATTGAGCTCCTCTGAAGCTCTCATTGTAATTATAAATAAAAGTGCTCACCAAGTCACAATGGACAATTTATAGTTCTAAAAAGAATAAAATAAGATTTTGAAAACTTAAAACCTTTCCAAAAATCTCACAAAATAAATTTTAAAGAATTTCAAAAAACAAAATATTTGAATTTCAAGAATTATCAAGAAATTACTCTTCAAAACATTTGAATATCAAGAACTGTCAAAAAAATTACTTTTTGATTTTGTTTTCTCTAAAAAAAATAAAACAATTTCATTTATTCAAAATAAAGTGAACAAAATCCTTAAAGCATTCAAGAATAAGTGAACAAAACCCTTATCTAAAAGCAAATTTGCTTAACCCTTAAAATAAACTTTTCGTGAAAAAAAAAAATAAAAGAATTTTATTTATTTTTAAAATTTCCAAGATTGTAATTTTTACAAGATTAATAAATAAAATTATTATTTATCTTCAAAGATTGCAAATTTTTCGTTGTTTTATTTTCGACTAAAAATTTATGTGAACAATAGTTTACTTTCTTTAATGTTAATCAATCGACCAATAATTGATTCGATGATATGCTATTGTTCAACTAGATTTAAAATCAAAGTCATCCCGTTTTATTCTTAGATTTTTGAAATACCTTTTAACATTAAAAAATATTTTTAAAAAATATGTATGGAGCTGTTGGTTAATAAATACTCCAAAAGAAAAAAAAAAAAAAGAATTAGAGGAGAATTTACTTTTTAGTCAGCAAGGATACGGAGGTCGAATAAACGATTAATAAGACCCTTCTTTTTTTTTTTCCTTTATTCTCTTTTTAAGGTTTCATCGTTTCATTTGATGGTACAAGGTATTGGCAATGGAAATGGCTTTCCTTTTCGGTTGCTGAAGTCTAATAAAGTGTGATAAAGGCTTCATAATGTCCGTTAGTAGTGCTTGCAGTACAGATTCCTAGCGTGTTCTACATTTTTTTTTATATTTGAGATATTCCTCTTTCTTTGCAGTTAAGAAACCCACCCCCCCCCCTCCAAACTTTACTACACTCCTTTTTAATTTTGTTTTTGTGGGTTCTTTCAAAGGGTGAAAGCTGGAAATCAGTTTCTAACTTTCTATGTTTAGTACATGTATTCATAGGAAAATATGGAACGTAACGCTTCAACTTCAAGTGAGCAGAGTGTTGTAACTAGAAAAAATGTGAGTTTCATTGATAATGTGTTTTCATGGTCTCTTGAAGACATTTTCAATGATGATCTTTATAAGGATCAGGTGGGTTTCCTTTGTCCTCCATCATCATCATCATCATCCTTGAATCTTTGATGTTCCTTCTTTTTTTTTCTTTTTTTTTTTGCTTATTTGAATCTTATTTATCTGATTATTTTGCAGCTTTTGGAATATCTTACACTTTTATGGAAGTTGAAAATGTTTTGCACAGGTTTTGGAAGGAGATGCTCGTACAAAAAATAGCTGTAGTAGTTAGAGGAATAGTTTCTTGTATGGGTTGGGTTTTTTTTTTCCAGCCCAAGCCCATTTCAGCATTAGTGTCTCGTGCTTCTTGCTTTATGAATATATACATACAGTTATGGCAGCAAGCCAAAAGTGGCATATTGTTCACTGAAGTCTGCTAAAACATGGCACAATAAGACTTGTGAAGTTTTCGCTTGGTAGGGAATTAGGAACAAAAGGTAGCTAAATATAGTAGTAGCTTGTTATTTTCTTGCAATTAAACTCTTCTGAAAATTTATTAATAAAATCTTATGTTAGTGTCGTTGTTGTGCATGGGGTAAAATACTTTAGAACTTTGAAAGCCCATGAGTTTATCTTAAGCTTGTTCAGTTAAGCCAGAGAGCTGAATAAAGATTGAACATCATAAATTTGTCAAATAGTTGAGCTTGGTTTCAAAACGTTGAAATGTCCTTCAGTTTAATTTGACAATTGGAATCAGTTTATAAAGCCAAGTTTGAACTGGCTCATATGTGTCTCATGCGTGTTAGCACATTTTTTAGCCTTAACTATGTAGTTTGACCTTAACATATTAGGGCGTGTGTTATTTATTCTCGAATGCCATGGAAGAAGATATAAGAAGTTTATTACGGGTTTAATCTTCCACAATGGTTGTCCATGCATTCATTTGCTTGTGTATGTCTGAATCAGTTGAGTTTTATGAGGGATTAAACTATTATACCTTTTCTTCTCTCACAATTATTTGTCTCTGACCGATAAGGATTCATGTGATCTGTTTCAATTTAATTCTATTTGTAGGTGGTAAAGATTCCAGATGCATTTCCATCTACGGAACAATATCTTGGGTCGTATGTTTTCCCTTTGTTGGAAGAGGCTCGAGCAGCAATGCATTCATCTATGGAAATTATAGCTAGAGCGCCATATGCTGTAGTAACATATCTTCATGAGACAAAGCCACATGGAAAATTATTATTTGATGTGAAAGTTGATTACTGGAAAAACAGGTTCAGTGATCGTGAGAAGGAACCATACAAAACGTTGCCTGGAGATGTTATTGTTGTAGCAGATGCTAAACCTGAAACTGCTTCTGATTTACAAAGGGTAGGAAGAAGCTGGACATTTGCATTAGTCACTTATATTTCAGAGGTTTCAGAGGATGACAATGAGGATAATAGATCATCTACTATCTTCAAAGTGAAGGCTCTGGAAGACCTTGCATCCAAAGATGACTTGCAGAAATCACTATTTGTAGTTTTCTTGAGGAATGTAACCACAAACAGACGAATATGGAGTGCATTGCACATGAAGGGAAACTTAAAGATTATCAAAGAAGTTTTGCGCGCTGCTTCTACGGTGAGCATCTCACATTACATGTTTAAGATTTGCTTTTTTGAATTTGGCATTATACTGGATAATTTGGTATCGCTTTTGATCAAAAGTGGTAGCATATGATGCAAGTGGCTACATTTGTCAAGCATCCTCCAATACTGGTTATTCTTTATGTTAACTATTTGAGACATTGCATACGTCCAACATTGTAAATCTAACATGAGTTTTGCAGTGTCTCAGATTCAAAATGTTATTGATCTTATGTTTCATTTGTTTTACATGTTTTTCAATGTAACCGTAGAATCAGTTTTCTGGAATTTATTATTCTTCTTATTAATTTGAGGAGCAATTTTGAGGAATTTATAGTTGCTTTACACTTATATATATATATATATATATATATATATATATTTGCAGGGACGATTTTTTATTCAAATTTCATGTTGTATACAGGTAGAAGAAAGCTGCAGTCTCTGTTCCTCTGAGATTGGTGGAACCTGGAATGATATTTTTCTGACAAGTTTCCTATCTCAACTGAATGAATCTCAAAAGAAGGCAGTTTTGGTTTGTCTTCGCAAAATGCAGTGCAGCCACAAGTCTCACGTGGAACTTATTTGGGGCCCACCTGGAACTGGGAAAACTAAAACTATTAGTTTGCTGCTGTTAACTCTGTTGAGAATGAAGTACAGGACACTCACTTGTGCCCCAACAAACATTGCAATTACAGAAGTAGCTGCACGTGTATTAAAGATGATAAAAGAAGTTAAGAAAACATGCTATGTAGCAGATGATCCATTTTGTTCCTTGGGATTGGGAGACATCCTCTTATTTGGCACTAAAGAGAGACTTAAAGTTAATTCTGAGATTGAAGAAATATTTCTGGATTATCGTGTAAAAAAGCTTACTGAGTGCTTTGGGCCGCTGGGTTGGTGGCATTGTTTTACTTCGATGATAACTTTTCTGGAAGGTTGTGTCTCTCAGTACCATGTTTTCTTGGAAAATGAATCAATCAAAGAGAGGGAACATGGTAGTGAAAATGAAAACCGAGAGAAAGAGTGTTGTAGTGAAACTGATTATAAGAAGGTGAGACACGGATCATTTCTTGAATATGCAAGAGAAAGATTTACCCATACAGCATTGCCACTGAGAAAATGTGTCTCAATTTTATATACTCATATCCCCGAAGTCTACTTTCTGGAAAATAATTTCCAAGACCTTAAAACTCTTTTAGGCCTGCTTGATTCTTTTGAAACTTCGCTGTTTCTTGATGATTTGGTTTCAGAAGAAGTGGAGAAGCTCTTTTTATATTCAAGGGATGATAAATTGCTTCTGGAAAATTTTTCTGATGCATCACTCCTCTTGTGCTCGGTAAGAGGCCAGTGTCTATCTATTTTGAAGTCCCTCCGTGATTCTCTTACTGAACTTAAACTATCAAGTGCGAGGGACAAGGATTCCATAATAGAATTCTGCTTTCAAAGAGCGTCGTTACTCTTTTCCACTGCATGCAGTTCCTATAAACTCTATAAGGTTAAAATGAATCCACTGAATGTGTTGGTAATTGACGAAGCAGCACAATTGAAAGAATGTGAATCAGCCATACCCTTGCAACTGCCAGGTATAGCACATTCCATTCTAATTGGTGATGAACGGCAATTGCCTGCTACAGTTCTAAGCAATGTATGTAAACTATACTTAGTTTGTTGTCTTTCTTTTCTCTCCAATGTTCCTTTCTAATTTTTCCCCTCTTTTATTTTTGGCTGTTTATTAATTTTTATCTTTTTTTGTAGGTTTCTGATAAAGCTGGCTTTGGAAGAAGTTTATTCCAAAGGTTGAGTACATTGGGTCACTCAAAGCACCTACTGAATATTCAGTACAGAATGCATCCATCAATCAGTTGCTTTCCAAATGCAAGGTTCTATAATAACCAGATTTTGGATGCATCAGGTGTTAAGCATAAGAGATATGAGAAACATTATCTTCCATGGCCGATGTTTGGTCCCTATTCCTTCATAAATGTCTCTGGAAGAGAAGAAGTGGATGATGTTGGACGTAGCCATAGAAATATGATTGAGGTAGCTGTTGTGTGGAGGTTGCTGCGAACTCTGTTCAATGGTAATTATCATGAGCTTAATTTGTAATGCTATGGTATGGGTTTTTTTAGATATTTCTCATAAGTCTGGATTTTTTTTAATTTTCTGGCTTATGCCTTTTGACTGCTAGTGATGGACATCGGTGTTTAAGGAGATAGTTCATTTTGAGGGCTGATGAGGCATTTTCTCTTCTCTTCATATTAAAATCAGAAAGCATTCTTCTTTTATTATTAGATTGATTTCCTTTTGTATTATTTGTTGCTTTTGCCTACAGCATGGGATGGCTCAAGGGAGAAGCTCAGTGTTGGCATAATATCTCCCTATGCTGCTCAGGTTGTTGCAATTCAGGATAAACTTGATGGGAAGTACGAGAAAACTGATGGCTTTGCAGTGAAGGTGAAGACAGTTGATGGATTCCAGGGTGGTGAGGAAGATATTGTCATAATATCAACTGTGAGATCAAATAGTTCAGGAACAATTGGGTTCATATCCAATTCTCAAAGAACAAATGTTGCTCTTACAAGGGCTAGGTATTTCCTTAAATTAACTTTCTTTCCGTCACTTTTTGCAATTCTATGACAAGTTGCAATGTATTACTATGTTTTCAATGCCTTCACAGGCATAGCCTCTGGATTTTGGGGAATGGAAGTACACTGGCCAAGCGTAAATCTGTGTGGCAGGCATTGGTTCATGATGCAAAGGCACGTCATTGTTTCTTTAACGCTGATGAAGACAAGGAACTGGCAAAAGCTATTTTAGATGCCAAGAAAGAATTTTGTCAACTTGATGACTTGCTTAATCGGGACAGTGTTCTCTTCAAAAACGCTAGGTGGAAGGTTTGTAACTACGCTGGTTAAAACTTGCTATCATTCTGCTTGTTCTATCGTGTTATTTTCATTGGCATCAATTTATATAGGAATTTTGTACGATATGAAAACCTATGTTATCTTACGTACTGCTGACCTTATTTATTGCTATATTTAGTTAATGAGACTTCATTAGAGATTATCTGCATTTTAAAGTGGTAAAAATTAATTTCTTTTCTTTTTCCAGGTTCTTTTCAGTGATTACTTTAGAAAGTCATTTGGGAAGCTGAAATCTGTCCAGACCCAGAAACTAGTTTTAAACCTTCTATTAAAACTTTCAAGTGGCTGGCGACCTAAGAAGAGAAATGTGGATTTAATTTGTGAAAGCTCCTCTATGGTCTTAAAACAGTTCAAGGTTGAAGGTCTTTATATTGTCTGCTCAATTGATGTAGTGAAGGAGCAGAGGTACACTCAAGTATTGAAGGCTTGGGACCTCTTACCATTAGAAGATATTGAGAGATTGGTTAAGCGCCTTGATGGTATCTTCAAAATGTATACTGATGATTTTATCAGTCATTGCAATGAGAAATATCTGGAAGGGTATGTGACCATAATGTTATTCCTAATTTGTAAATAAGAAATTTGCCTTTCTTGAATATGAATGTTATGTTTCATATGCAGTAATTTAAAACTCCTACATTGTTTTTACTCTTTTATTGTATCTAGGGATTTGGAAGTTCCCAAAACTTGGACAATATCATTTGATATTATCAGATATAAGACCCTTAGCCAAGATGAAAGAGAGCACAGTTCAAACAGCAGTGCTTCAGATGGTAGATGTTATTTAGAAAACTCAAAAGTGAGTGAGAGCTTGTTGTTGATGAAATTCTACTCTTTATCATCGGGTGTTGTGAACCAACTTCTTTCTGATCGGAATGGAAGAGAACTAGAACTTCCATTTGAGGTGACCGATCAGGAACTTGATATAATTTTATTCCAAAGAAGCTGTTTTATACTAGGAAGATCAGGCACTGGGAAGACTACTGTTCTGACCATGAAGTTGTTTAAGAAAGAGCAATTACACCATTTAGCAACTGAAGGATTTGATGAAGTCAACCCAAATACGTCAAATGAAGTCTGTCGGGAAGACAGAATCATGGGTGGTGTTGGAGAGACTGAAGCAACTCCACTGCGCCAACTTTTTGTAACAGTCAGTCCTAAACTTTGTTATGCTGTGAAACATCATGTTCTTCAATTGAAAAGGTGCGTTGCATACTGTGTTGAAATGATAGCTTTACGGTAGTATAAATTACATTTGAGTTTACAGTTGGCATAGAAATAAATCTAATTTTATACGAAGGATGATATCTAATGTGATTCTGCAGTGGTAAATTCATAGACCGAGACATATGAAGTCTGGACATTAAGTCCTACAACCCTATGTGTGACTGCAATTAATCCTTTTCCTTAAATTTTATTTTCTAATGTTTTAGAAACTATCCTGCTAAGTTTGTGATGAAATGATAAAATTAGCATATTTCAGGAAGTTCTTCTTTTTGTGCTAGATCAACAAATTGACATGTTTCTGAGAATGCAATAAATCTAATTGGTGGTAAAAAAAATCATATTTATAGACACCAGTAGAAAATTTGAACTTCATCGTCTGGCCAAATAAAACTGATAATCTTGCATGTTCAATCTTTTAGAAGTTTGAAACAATAAAATCTTTGAGAAGTTGTCTAAAATTCCTGGCGACTCTTGTCTGTATTTTGTTTTAAATACCTAACATATACAATTATTCTATGGATTTGTTTTTCATTCTTTGGTGCAAGAACTACAGAATGCTATTGTATAAAGACCCCTACTTTTTCAAGTCTGCAAGGTGTTTTCCCAAGTATTTAGTTTTCATAGCTATGATAGTCTTTTGTTTCTGTGTAAAGTTTTCTGCTTACACATGGTAAAGTGCGAAGGTTTCTTGATGTCTGTGATCTTGGATGGTTGTTAGATTGTTGCAAGTTTCGCTATTTTTATTTTTTACAAATAAGCTGCAATTTTGTTGATAATTCGCTGTTGGCTACTTTGGTTCTGACTTCTCATGGAAATTAATTTGATCAACTTGTCATGTAATAAGCACTCCACTCAAGGTACTTTATTTAGCTGCATGGAATTCTTGTTTCCCGGTGTCACAAGCCTTGTTATACAGGTTTGCCAGTGGAGGAAACTATTCTGAAGGGAGTGCCTTGCAAGATGAGGATGATATTGATGGTGCAGCACAATTCAAGGATATTCCCGATTCATTTGTTGATATTCTTCCTAAAGCATACCCTCTCGTTGTAACTTTACAGAAGTTTCTGGTCATGCTTGATGGAACAGTTGGTAGCTCGTTTTTTGAGAAATTCTATTATGCTAGGGAGCTATCAAATTGGCAAGTTGGAAAGGCATCAGTTTCCTTAAGAAATTTTATAAGAATAAGGGAGGTAAATTATGAAAAGTTTTGTTCAACTTACTGGCCCCATTTTAATGAGAAGCTGACAAAAAAACTTGACTCATCCAGAGTCTTCACAGAGATAATGTCTCGTATAAAAGGTGGCTTGAGATCAGGGGATTCTTGTGATGGGAGACTCGATGAGGAGGATTATATCAAATTATCTGAGGGTCGGGCGTCAACCTTAAGTAGACATGAGAGACAAGTGATATATGATATATTCCAAGATTATGAAAAAATGAAAGGAGAAAAAGGCGAGTTTGATATGGCTGATGTTGTGATTGATCTTCATCATCGACTTCAAAATGAAAGGTATGAGGGTGATATAATGGATTTTGTTTATATCGATGAGGTGCAAGATCTTACAATGAGGCAGATTGCTCTTTTCAAACATGTTTGCAAAAATGTAAGTGAAGGCTTTGTTTTCTGTGGGGATACAGCACAAACTATTGCCAGGGGTATTGATTTCAGGTTTGAAGATATACGATCCCTTTTTTACAATGAGTTTGTTTTGGAATCAAAATGTAAAACAAATGATGGGAAAAAGGAGAAAGGTCAAATATCTAAAAGTTTTCACTTGAGCCAGAACTTTCGTACACATGATGGTGTCCTAAGGTTAGCGCAGAGTGTCATTAACCTTCTTTACCATTTCTTTCCTTCATTTGTGGATATTTTATGCCCGGAAACTAGTCTCATATATGGAGAAGCCCCGATTTGGCTTGAATCTGAGGATAAAGACAATGCAGCTGCAGCAATATTCAGGAACAATGGTAATGTCGGGGGACGTATAGTTGGATTTGGAGCAGAGCAGGTCATATTAGTACGAGATGATCTTGCTAAGAATGAAATTTTGAAGTTTGTTGGCAAGCAAGCTCTTGTTCTGACTATACTGGAATGCAAAGGTTTAGAGTTTCAGGTATCTGGTATTTTATAATTATTCTTGTTGCTTCTATCATATGATCTGCTTGTTTTTATCCCTGAAATTATTAATAAATGCTCAATGATAGCTTTCTGTTGTTTAGTTAATCTTATTTTCCCTACAAGTTCAGAACCTAAGAACAGGTTGGCTGGCTTGGCTTTTATAAAAACATTAGGATTACCCCTAGTGTGTTAGAGCTTAATAATTGATCTGGCCCACATGCATCTATCTTAACAGTGCCTTTTCTCTGTATCCCTAATGTTTGTTTTCAAAAATGTAAACTGGTTCATCCATGCCACCATTAATTTTTTTACATTACATCTCTGTAGGATGTATTATTGTACAACTTTTTTGGTTCATCACCTTTAAAGAATCAGTGGAGAGTTGTATATGAATACATGAAGGAGCAAGGCTTGCTTGATGCAAATTGCTCATTTCCAAGTTTCAAACAGTCAAAACACAACATTTTGTGTTCTGAATTGAAGCAGTTATATGTTGCTATCACCCGCACAAGGCAAAGACTGTGGATTTGTGAAAATGTAGAAGAGTTTTCCAAGCCGGTGTTCGAGTACTGGAAGAAGAAGTGCCTTGTTCAAGTTAGGAAGCTGGATGATTCACTTGCTCAAACAATGCAAGTTGCAAGCAGTCCAGAAGAGTGGAAGTCACGTGGTCATAAGGTTTGTTGTTTTCAGAATGGTTGTTCTTGCCGGACAATTCTTATTTTTAATTTCCATTAATTCATATTCATATATTTGTTAATCTATTGTTAGTCATTTTCATACATGATTCAAGCCATTTCAATGGGTTTTGGGACTCCTCAGTTCTGCAATGAATTAACAGTTGTGCAAATGTAACAGCTCTTTTATCCCTTTTATTTGTGTCCTGCAGCTGTTGCATCAGGGTAACTATGTGATGGCAACAATGTGCTTTGAAAGAGCACATGATTTGTATGGGGAAAAACTGGCGAAGGCTTTTGGACTTAGGGCAGATGCTGACCAGTTGCATGGTTTAAATCCTGAAAGGGCTTCTACAGCCAGGAGGCAGGCTGCTGAAATTTTTTATTCTATTGGCAAGGCTGAGCTTGCTGCAGATTGCTTTTACATGTTAATGGAGTATGAAAAAGCAGGTGCAATTCCATTTTCCCCCTTCATACCTCGTTTAAGTTAATTTCTTGATAAACATGAACTTGAAGTGCTAAAATCTACTGCTCAGACATTCTATAATTCCTATAGTTGTTTTCCAAAAGACATTTTCTTTCTTCTGCTGTGTTGAATAACATCTTCCTACTGAGTAAGAGAGAAAGAAAAAGATTCTTTGATTGCAGCCTTTAGATTATATGCAAATGAGCTTAACATTTTCATTTATCAAATGCATTATATTTCAGAATATAACATTCTCCAGTTTATTTATAGGAGCATCCTTGTCTTTCTGAGTTGAGTATTGATCGACTTATTTGCATGCTTTATGTGGAAACTGAATGTATATTGAAAAACTGCTTATATTGAATTATACAAGAATCTTAGGTTTATATACAACTAACTAGGGGTTAAACTAGGAAACTAAATCTTCCTTAATTCTAGGGATACAAATATTTAATTCTAGAGATACAAATATAAATATACAGATTACAAGATTACAACCAGCTGTAAATAAGTGTTTTCCTACACTCCCCCTTAAGCTGGTGAATAGGTGTTTTCCATTCCCAGTTTGGAAATAATTCCTTGAAATGTTGCACTGCTGAGACCTTTAGTCAACACCTCTGCAAGTTGACCCTTGGTTGATACATAAGGTGTACAAATCAACCCACTGTCTAGTTTCTCCTTTATGAAATGCCGGTCTACTTCAATGTGTTTTGTTCTGTCATGTTGTACAGGATTGTGTGCAATGCTTATTGCAGACTTGTTATCACAGTAGAGTCTCATTGGTCCATCCCACTTGATCTTCAAGTCTTCTAAGATAATCTTTAACCATAGTAGTTCACAAATCCCTTGAGCCATTGCTCTGAACTCTGCTTCAGCACTTGATCTTGCCACCACATTCTGTTTTTTACTCCTCCAAGTCACAAGATTACCACTTAAGAAAGTACAGTAGCCTGAGGTGGATCTTCTATCAGTTACTGAACCTGCATAATCAGCATCTGTATATGCTTCTAGAACTAACCCCGAATTTCTTTTGAATAAGATACCTCTCCCAGGATTGGCCTTCAAATAGTGCAATATACGGTAGACAGCCTGTAGGTGCACTTCTTTAGGACTATGCATAAATTGACTTACCACACTCACAGCATATGCCATATCAGGTCTAGTATGTGAGAGATAAATGAGTCTTCCAACTAATCTTTGGTACATCTCTCTATTTACAGCAACATCTTCATTAGCTTCTCCAATTTTATGATTAGGATCTATAGGGGTATTTGCAGGTTTACATGCAAGCTTCCCAGTTTCCTTCAAAAGATCCATCACATATTTCTGTTGTGAGATAAAAATACCATGCCGTGAGTGAGCTACTTCAATTCCTAGGAAGTACTTCAATCTCCCTAGCTCTTTTATCTCAAATTCTCTAGCCAAACACTGTTTTAGAGATTCTCTCTCTTTTTCATCATCTCCAGTTACAATTATATCATCAACATACACTAATAGAACTGTGACTCTCCCTGAATCAGAGTGCTTGATAAACAATGTGTGATCTCCTTGACTCTGTTTATATCTCATTGCTAGCATCACTTTGGCAAATCTCCCGAACCAAGCTCTAGGAGACTGTTTAAGGCCATATAAAGCCTTTCTTAACCTGCATACTTTGTTTACTTCTAGATGACCTCCAAATCCCGATGGAACCTTCATATATATTTCTTCTTCCAAATCACCATGTAGAAAAGCATTCTTTACATCAAATTGTTGAAGCTGCCAATTGTAATTTGCAGCCAATGATAACAAAATCCTAACTGTATTCATCTTGGCAACCGGAGCAAAGGTTTCCTGGTAATCCACTCCATAGGTTTGAGTGTAGCCCTTAGCCACTAACCTGGCTTTATACCTTTCAACAGTACCATCTGCCTTGTATTTTATAGTGAAAACCCATTTACACCCCACTGAATTTTTTCCTTTAGGCAACTCTACCAGTTCCCATGTCTGATTTTTCTCTAAGGCCTCCATTTTTATTTTCATGGCTTGCCTCCATTTCTCATTAGATAATGCCTCGGATAATGTAGTTGGAACAGAAATAGTGCTTAGGCTCACAAGAAAATTTTTGTGAGATGGTGAGAATTTTTCAAATGACACAAAATTAGATATTGGGTATAGTGGATGCTTGGTACATTCTCTGGTTCCTTTCCTAATGGCAATAGGCAAATCATAATCACTAGTTATAGTTTTAGGAGATTCATGCTCATTTTGAGAAACAGAGTCAAAAACTGTAGTTACCTCATTTTCAGAGTTAGGATCAGGTTCTTGGACTGGCACTGGTTCAGGATCTGGAACTTTCCTTCTTGAGTACACCTGTAATTCTTTCATAGAATCAAGAACAATATTATCCTTTGTCACATCTTCCGTATTTGGAATGGGTTCAGACTCAAATTCAGTGTTTGACTTGGGCTCAGCAGAAACAGGTTTCGACTCAGAAGAATTAATGGGTGTAAATGTTGAAGAAGGGGGCAAATCAAGCAAAAAGAAGTCTTTATCCTTATCTTCCATGAATGAAGTCTCCCCTTGAAGATAAGGTTGGGTAAAAAATGGTTTATTTACTTCAAAAGTGACATCTGCAGACACATAAAATTTTTTGGTAGGAGGATGATAGCACTTATATCCTTTTTGAGTTGAAGAATACCCCACAAAAATACACTTAATCGCTCTTGGATCCAACTTTCCCCTGTTATGACTGTGAACATGAACAAATGATGTACAACCAAATATCCTACGTGTGAGATTGTTTGTGGTATTGAGGTTGGGATAAAATTGTGAGAGTAGTTCCATAGGAGTTTTAAATCCCAAAACTCTTGAAGGTAACCTATTTATAATGTGTGTGATAGTGAGAACAGCTTCCCCCCAATAAGATTTAGGTACATTTGCTTGAAAAAGAAAGGCTCGGGTTGTGGCTAGTAAATGACTGTTTTTCCTCTCTGCCACTCCATTCTGCTGTGGAGTATTAACACAAGATGACTCATGGATAATCCCCTCTTTTTGGAAATAGGTGGATAGACTCTGGTTGAAGTAGTCTCTTGCATTATCAGACCTAAATATCTTGATTCTCACTCCAAATTGATTTTGGATCATGTTTTGGAAGCTTAAAAACACACTATTCACATCTGATTTGCATTTAAGTAAAAAAACCCAAGAGACCCTAGTACAATCATCTATGAATGAAACAAACCATCTCGCACCAGAAATATTAGGAATTGTAGAGGGACCCCAAATGTCACTATGAATCAAGTAAAAGGGAGTAGAGCTTCTTTTGTTACTGATTGGAAAAGACACACGTCTATGTTTTGCAAATTCACAAATATCACAATGAAAATCTTCAACATTTAATCCTTTGAACAAAGAAGGAAACATGTTTCTCAAGGTTCCAAAAGAAGGATGTCCAAGACGAAAATGATAAAGCCAAATTTTGTCTTTATTGGAAGATTTTTCAGAAAGAAATGACAAAGGTAAACTATTTTTGATACTACTTGTGTTATTTGATGTCTCAAGATAGTATAGTCCATCCTTCTCCTTAGCAAGTCCAATCATTTTCCCCGAACTCTAGTCCTGAAATTCACAATAAGAGGGATAAAAAGTTACTTTGCAATTCATATCTCTGGTAAGTTTTTGTATAGATATCAGATTAATAGACAATCCAGAACATGAAGAACATTTTTAGAACAAAGGAGGATTAACTTGAACATCTCCTAATCCTGCCACTATGGTAAGTGAACCATCAGCAACAACAATTTTCTTATTACTAGGACACAGGTTATATGTACTAAACTTTTGTGAGGAATGTGTCATGTGGTCTGTGGCTCCTGAATCAATGACCCAAGAACTCGTAATAGGCTTAGCCGAGACATTTAATCCATGAGAACCGAAAGCTTTACCTGAACTAGAAACTTTACCCAAGGAACATACCATAGTAGGCTTTTCAAGGATTTTCAATAAGTTTCTCAGCTTTTCAATCTCTTCCCTGTTGAACTCTCCTTGTTTCTAGACATCTGTAGTACTCTAGTGATTTTCCCAGTTAACATTTTCTCAAATTGCGGTGGTAGTGATATCTTTCTTTGAAAGGGTTCGGCAATGAGCGTAGGGATTCCAATGAAGGAAAAAGTCAGCAATGAAGGCTGAAAATTTTGCTTCCCAAGAAGAGCTAAAGCTCTGATACCATGTGGAAACTGAATGTATATTTGAAAAACTGCTTATATTGAATTATACAAGTCTTAGGTTTATAACAACTAACTAGGGGTTAAACTAGGAAACTAAATCTTCCTTAATTCTAGGGATACAAATATTTAATTCTAGAGATACAAATATAAATATACAGATTACAAGATTACAACCAGCTGTAAATAAGTGTTTTCTTACACTTTAATATGTGATCATTAGTAACTGAACAAATAATTTTCTTTCTCTAATACAAATATTTCCTGCTTTAGTCTAGGATTATTAATGAGTTCTTATTTTGTGAGCGTGCATGTGTGCATATGACTGTCCCAGGATTCCTGGAAATTCTGAAAGTAGTTTTGAAACTGCAGGAAAAATATATTTGGAAAATTGTGGGGAATCTGCTCTAGAGAGAGCTGCAGAATGTTTTCTTCTTGCTGGATGTTACAAGACTGCAGCAGAAGTTTATGCAAGAGGCAACTATTTCTCAAAATGCTTGTCTGTTTGTCAAAAGGAAAAACTGTTTGACATGGCTGCAATTACATTCAGCACTGGAAACAACTTGCAAATGCAGATGAAGAAATAGTCAAAAGAAGTAAGGATATGGAGGAACTTAAACAAAAGTTTTTGGAGAGCTGTGCACATCATTACCATGAGGTTAATGATAAGAGAACAATGATGAATTATGTCCAAGCTTTTGATTCCATGAGTTCAAAACGAACATTCTTGCAGTCCTTAGAGTGTCTTGATGAGCTTCTTCTTCTTGAAGAAGAATCGGGGAACTTCTTGGAGGCAGCAAACATTGCAAAGTTGAGAGGTGAACTTCTACTTGGGGCTGATCTGCTTGGAAAGGGTGCACAATTTGAGGAGGCCACGCTTATTATCCTCTGGTTTGTGTTTGCCAACTCTCTATGGTTAACTGGGAGTAGGGGATGGCCATTGAAGCAGTTTACAGAGAAAGAGAAGCTTCTAACAAAAGCCAAGTCATTTGCAAAGAAGTTGTCAAACCAGTTTTATGGGCTTGTTTGTTCAGAGGCTGACATTTTACTGAATAAGCCAAGCAACTTATTCTTGATGAAACAATATTTAACTGCTTCTCAGAAGCACAAGAGTACCCGAGGTGAAATATTAACTGCTCGAATGATTCTAGATCATCACCTTCATTTAAATATCTCAAAATATGAAGGGATGGATGACTTGGTTTTTGATCTAGCAAGCTATTCTGAAGAGCAAATTTCTAATAACCAGGTTTCCACTGAGACACTGGTCTACTTTTGGAATTTCTGGAAGGATAAAATCGTGAAGATATTTGAGTATCTTGATCATGCTGGAATCAAAGATAACAGTGATCATAGAAAATATGGAGAATTCTGCTTGAATTATTTTGGTGTGTGGAGACAGTTTAAGAATCAGAGTACTGTATATCTTCTGCCGAATTCTGATGCTGAATGGGTGAGAAAACTGGAGAACAAACATGTTTGCAGTAATCAGAAGCAGGTTTCTATTTCTCTCGGTCAATTTGTCTCAGCTGCAATGAGTTATTGGTGTTCAGAATTACTCTCTGTTGGCCAAAAAGTTCTGACAAAGCTTGAGGTATTCTATAAATCCTCATGCAGAAATTCTTTTTCAGCCTTCTGTCGTAGCAGGTCTCTTACCCTTATCTATGAGGTTGCCAGTTTTCTCTTGAATTCCAACTTTCTGAAGAACCAGCGTGTGGACAAGGATCTGATGAAATTTGTTCGGCTGTCAACAGAGCACTTCTTTGAGTACATATTTCCTCTTGATTGGCGAGAATCGTTGAGAGAGAACATGATATCTCTGAGGGGAAATGAAATTTCAAGGAATTTACTTGAAGAAGTTATGTTTGAAAAGATCAGGTCAAACAATAGTGGTTTGTTGTCTTATGGGGAAACTGGAAAGGTGGCTTTGATAATTCTTGGATCAGGTCAGCTTAATATTGAACTATATGGGAAGATACTTGATGCTTTAGAATGGAATGTAGCATGGAAGGACTTCATTGGGAGTCTCAAAGAGGATAGAGTTTCTCCTCAAGTTTTTTCAATTGGCCATATCAATGAAGGGAATGGAAGCTCAGAATCTAGAGCTGGATCTGCAGCTGGTTATATGGAAGAAATTGGGAATGAGCCAATTATATTGAAGTTCCTTGAAGCTTTACAAGATACTTATAACGCTAACTGGAGGAAGATATCTGATTACATGTCACCAGTTTGTTTCTTGTATCTTGTTGAGCGCTATCTGCTTTTGTTATCCTTCTTCAAGGGAAACTTTTTCACCACAAAGACTACTTTTGTGGAATGGCTTATCTACCAGGATGGGGTACCCAGCTCAATTTCCAGTTTTATGGCTGATAAGCAACAATTTTTGGAAGACATTCTAAAATTTGTAATTGACATGGTCCAGCAGATCCTCTATTTCAAGGAAGAGACCATTGATTGGATTAAAAAGTCTCGTATAAACGTGAGGGAGTACCATTCCCTAATGGTTTTGAGACTGGTTATCATTTTATGTTTGCTTCATTTGAACTTTGGCAAGTGTATTGATTTACTTTTTGACTTGCTGGATCGAAAGCATATTACAGATCTACTGCCCAAGGATTTTTATGATGCCCTTTGGAGAAGGCGGAGATATAATTGTCTGGATGTCGTGCTTGCTCATGCATTTAAAATAATTGGAAATCCTCTCATAATTGTGAGCATGGGGGTAAACGGTCCTAAATTTGGATGCCAGGATGCTATATTTGTTGATATGAAGGTCAATCCATGCAAGGAGGAAATATTGAGAATCTTGTTCCCTAGAACTGGAAGTTCTGAATATCGAACTGATGATTTTTGTGGTGAAGTTCTTCCTCCAGCCAGTTATGATGAAGGGAAGAGCTTGAAGATTGTTCCTACTTCAAGCTCTGGTTCTCTGTCAGATCAACACTTGAATGCTCAGAATCAAGATGATGGTGACATACTGATTAACAATGTTCATTTTTGGGAAATTGTCGAGGCCTTGAAGGCAGTGAGTGGCATCAAGGATCAATTGACCATTAGGTCATATGCTTCAAAAATGAGGGTAATTGTTATATGCATGTGATTAGATGAGCATTTTCAAATGTCACTGTTAGTTTTGTGTGATCTCATCATCACTGTTTACTGTTCTTTTTAGGTGTACCTGGATAAATGCGTTTCCCTCCTCAATGCTGCAACAAAAGGATGTTTGGAGAAGAAATCTAGAGGTAGTGAAGACAACTTTTCAAGGGAAGTAATCAACATGCTTGAGGAAATGGAGCAACTCCAAACCCAACTGGAACCAAAGTCAGTTTCATTCACTGCCTTTCCGATGTGTAGTTGAAAGACTCCATTTTTACACCACATTATTACCGCACCATATTTCCTAAGAATTTCCTTCTGCTTCTGCATTTTTTTTTCAGTGAGCTGAAACTTGAAAGTAGCATTCCAATAATTGGAGCCCTTTGCGAGGAGCTGCATTTAAGAAGGTCTAGAATTGAGCCTTTTCTGCGGCAGCTATTCATGCAGCAAGATGAAGATCTTATATCTGATAAATCTGGCGGCCGATGTGATATAGAAGAGAGTAGCAGTAAGGCTGAGGAATGTAGTATGGGTAAGAATCCGGCTTCAGAATCTACTGTCAATTGCAAACCCCAAGGGAACAGTAAATCTAAGAAAAACAACAGGAGTCGTGGCTGCAAAAGTAAGTAGATAAGCATTCCTCAAAATTCTAGAGGGTGTATTACTGATCTATATTCACGGTGGTTGCATATTACTCTCCTTGTAGCATAGATCTTTTATTTCTTTTAAATTATGCTAGAACTTCTGCTATGACTATAACACACATCTATTCTTATTTTATAAACCACTCTATCCACCTTATTGTATCCAACTTATGGTGGAATCCATAGTCTGAACTGAGTTTGAAGCAAAGTGCCCAATGTGTATGGAACTGCTCAATTCTATTGCTAATCAAAAGTAAGAAGCTTCCGGTAATTCAGTTATATGTTGAATAGATTACATACCTTTCCGCATTGAAGAACGTGATATGAAAAACCAATGTCCCTCGCATTCACATGCATCGTTTATAACATCATCCTAAACAAAACTGCAACCATGATAAAAAAAATGATCCAACTAAATAGAAAAAAACACGAAGTAATAGTACGTAAGCCCATCAAGTTGAGCATATTATTGAAGCCAAAAATTGTCATTAAGCAACTCATTCCTGAAACAGCAAAAACTCCCATCTCCTTATTTCTCTAACTATCCTCTGAAACTTACATCGAAGTTTCAACATCACTTATACCATTTTCAATAACGTTTAAAGGCCTAATAAAACATTAATCAACAAAACTTAGTAAAAGGCATAGGATTAACTCCAAGAATTGTATACCACCTGAATGCCAGAAAATTTTGGAAAGCACCCAAAACTCAATTCTCCTCATTGGTCCCAAACAATTTCATTCATGATAAAGATGTCCCCAAATACCCTTCCACCTCAAACTTCTTTGGTGAAAGCTCCCTATACTTTGCAAACTGTTCTTTAGCTTCAGCTTTCCTATCAAGCAAACTATATATCATCCCTTGACAAAAATACGGCCTAAAATCACTTGGATCTTCTTTGGCCAATTCTTGGTAACTCCTCAAAGCTTCCTCAACGTTCTTTTGCAAGAACTTTATCTGCGCCATTATCAGTCGAACATCTCTTGCTTCTTGGACTTTCTTCTCGTCTTGGGCAATAGCTAAAGCCTCTTCTAACCTCTTGATCACGACTTCTCCTTCCCCACAACGGTCCATTAACAAAGCATTCTCAAACAAAGCCTCGAAAGAGAGCGGATTTGATTGAAGAATTTCATCGAACATTTTACGTGCATTCTCCGTTTGACCCATTTTACTTAACAACCTTATTAACAAGAATTTCCAATCAGTTACCTGTGGTTGAGAAGAAACCAAACGATTCAAGATAGTAAGAGCTTCTTCGTCTTCGCCGTTTTCGAGCTTCTGTTGTAAAAGGGACTTTAATGCCTCAATGGCTTCGTAATTAGATTCCAGAAACTCTGAAAGTGGGGAAGTTTGTTTTGGGTTTTGAGTTTTTTCTTCCTGTTGCTCTTCTTCTTCTTCGAGAATGGCAGTTGTTTGTTCAGTGACTGTTGGTGGGGAGTCAGCTTTGGCAGGAAATTGGGAGAACTTCCCAATCATCATAGTGGTGGCACCAAGTAAAATAGCTGTTTTGGCAAAGGATTGGAGCTTTTGAGTGAGGAGTTGGTTATTGTTGTTATGTTTAGAAATGGGAATGGAATCATGATTTGCTGAAGAAGCCCTAAGACTGAGAGGTTTGTTGAAAGGAAAAGTGAGAAATGAAGAAGAAGAAGAAGAAGAGGAAGAAGAAAATGATTTGAGAGGAAGGAAATAGGGGGATGGTGATGATAATGTGGCTAGTGTGGGATTCATGGCTAAGGTTTTTAGGGTTTTTTTTGGTGGGATAGTGATTTTCAAGGCTGAAGAAAACAAGGTGGGTTGGTAAGAGAGTGGAGACTGAGACAAAGAGGGCGTTTCCTTCTTTCTGACCAGACACCTGTAATTTTGACTGGGGAGTTCGAATTAATTTAAGTAAGGTAAAGAATTTGAGAAAGGTAGTGGGAGTGGGACGCCCGCAGCCTGCAGCTACAAGCTAGGTAAGTGGGATTTTGTGGCAGACTCCGGACACTTGGCAGCTTGTGTAATGCACCCCATGCCGACGCCGTTTCTTCTCTAGTACTATTATTTTATCATTTTTCTTTTTAAAATGTAATTCTTCACATTCAAGATCAAAAAACAGAACCTAGAGCTGGGCCACTTTCAGCTCCAGGGATGGAGCCATGGAGGAGATGGATGTTGGTCCAAGATAAACTTACATTAACAAGGCCATGCTGCTACAATTATGTACCAGATAAGTTACAGAACGTTTAGCACCTGGTTTAACTCTAAAATTGTCATCACTATTTATATGTGCAAGACTCAATCAGTAGTTATGAATTTTACATATTTGAATGGTGATGTGATAGAAGGTGCATCGAAAGTGATGGATAAAAAAAATTAAAATTTAATTTAATTTATTTATATAATTATTTTTAAATAATAACATTTAATATATTTAAATTCAAATTTTAGTATATATAATTTTTTTCTCTAATCATAAACTAACGATGTTTTTTATAAATAAAAAAAATGAAAAGCCAAACCTATATTATTATAAAAAAGAAATGGGGAAACACTACTTGGTTACATGACTGAATGATATATGGAAACAACCAAAATTCAACATCAGACAGTATAATAAAGAATATCACCAAGACTTTGGGTATTCACGAAGAACGAACCGCATCATATCCCTAACCATCTTTATGCCACATCCTGAGCAGAACTTGGATGTTTCCCTTCGATAAGGTGCCCCACCTTCATCACAGAATTTTGCTGGACTTATAGGCTGAAATGTAAGCATTTCACAGGAGGTCAGTAATGACTTTTACATTAACAAAAGCATAAATATTCCTATTATGCTTTTACACTGACAAATTAAAGCATGTAAATTACAAAACACAATCAACACAGTGCAAACATGGAGCACATAGTATTCATAAAAAAAAGATCAGACATGACAATAGAGTTCTATGATTATCATACGCCTCATCCAGACACATTCATTCCTAAAAAGAATTTTCCAAATATAGACATGACAATGGGCCACTCTCATACTGTATTGGTATTGAGCTCCCAAAATCATGAAAATCAACTGCAATTATGAGCTCCCAAAATGTCTTGGCCAGATAAAGCAGGTTGCTGATGATGTTAGGAACATCGCATCTTTGTTTAGCACTCATAAGAATAATGATATTATCATAAGTCGTACTAATGGAAGTTCCATCTATCATTGTGCCAGATTCCCATTAAGAATTTTAGAGTACTAAACCAAAATCACCTATAAGGTATTTCTTATTGTTCTGATACAAACTTAAATAGAAATAAATTTCCAGAATTAGAATGTTAGCAACATGGACATTTCTTCCATTCTCCCCTAAAGTCATCACTTATAGTGTGTGCTAGAGCAGCAAGATGAAATGATTTACGTAAGAAATTAGAACCATAGGATAGCCACTGAAACATGAGTCATGCAAAGGAAGAGACTTAAATACATATAAAAACACCCTCACCATAACATGCAAGCGTGCTCCAACATGACCTGCTGTTAGGGGTTGTAAGCAAGCTATATGTTGAGACAGGGTTGGTGACTGGTGAGCATGATTAATTTCAGGTAAGTGTGATGGTTGCCCACATTGATGATTCGGGGGGAAATGAGCTGCATGTTGATTTTGGTGAACTGGTTGATGATGGTTCTGGTGAATAGGATGAAATTGGTGCTGATGAGACATTGGTGGTATATGATGCTTGGAAGGAGTCTGCTGCTGATTCTGCAATAATTGCAACAGTTTAGCAAAATCAGATACAAATACAACTTGCTGCAAATATACTGTTTAAAATAGTTGTCCCCAAGTCACCTTGAGCATATTTACAGGAGGTTAACACACTAAAATAGGATGTTTGGAATTAACTTGCAATCACACTTCTTGTCCAATGTTAGAATCCTTGGAAAGATTCAGAATCCATATTCCAAACAAATTCTTCATTAAACGGTTGCTTAGAATGACTAAGTTCAACTTCCTGCAAACATTTGTCCAAAATAATGCTATCCCCTAGTCATTTTGATCTTTGAATACTAGCTCAATACATTAGAACATGTGATGCCCAATTTAACTAGCAAACAAACTTTTTTTTCTGATGCTAGCACTCATAAACTGATTATGATATTTAACATTAAAAAATAATTCTCCATCAAATTGAATGTCTAAATGCAAAGAAAATAAAAGACTAATAGAAAGCCTAAATAGATCATTTTTATTTTCCTCAATGTTTTACCCTTTAGAACTTCTAGAATTTGTAAGAGGCTCCAGTCATGAAGCTTCTCCTGCTAAAGAATAAAAAGTGAACATAAGAGGAAAAAGACCTGCTTTGGGCTTTTTATCCTTCTCTTCCAAATTTCACTTTGAACAACTTTCTTGATTTACTTAAGCAAGTGGAATAAAAAGGGCTTATCTATTTTCAAAAACAGGAAAAAGAAAATAAGTTGTATATAGAATTTTTTATCTATTTACTTCTCATTCTCAACTTTAATACTGAAACCAGTTGCCATCAACAGCTTTAAATTGCCCTCCATTTCAACAGCTCAGTCATTGGAAGCAGGCAAAACTAAGGATTCTTTTAAAAACACACGCACATACCTTCTTTTCATGATATAGTTTATGCAGTTACAAGGGAACTCCAGCACAAACAACTCTATCAGCAAATAGCATATACTCATTTCACAGGGGAGCTCTTACTTCAATGACAATGTGAAACCCCTGAGCATTAGAAGTTGGAGAAGAACTATCAGTGATGGAGAATGTCTGCAAACATATAAAAGATTACAAAATTATATCTTCGCATTCAACTTTAGTTGGTAAGGTTTATAGCAACAATATGTTTAGTTCTTTATTATATTTCATACACAATCTTCTGAAGCAATCCATCGTGGCGGAAAGAAGGAGAAATTTAACTTAGAATGATTGATGGAGAGAGGGAAAAAAACCTTAACATCATATGTATTATATTAGTATTAAGTGGTTTTATGTCACCAACAGCCATGTGGTCTGTTGGTAGAATGCTGAACTCTTAGTCCTAATAATAACCAGGTTCAATCCTTGACGATCTCATACACCCAAAAAAAGGCAGTTTTATGTCCTACTTCATAATATTGATCTACACTCAGAAATGCTAATGAATTCTAAGGCAAATTGGAAATTAGTTTTCAAGAAAACATTCAACTAGACCTTATTGTTCAAAGATACAGAGAATCAAGTTGGAAAAGAGGTATAGAGCTTACAGGCAAAGAAGGGATGTTGGGTACTGTGTTTGATGGAACATGCCTACACTTATGCCTTGGAGAATAAAACTTATAGTCTCGAGCAGAGATAGCAACCTCATTCCAACCTGTTAGTCATCTAAACCTTCAGCAAATAGAAACCTAATTAGAGAGAGGAAAGCATGTTGAAAAAGTCAATACAGTTTATTGGTGGAGTGTTGGACCTTTAATTCCAGAAACCAAGGTTCAATCCTCAGTAGCCTTAAGAATAAAAAAATGTCTCTCAAAATCCTCAAAGTCTAAATATTGTCACTTGACAGTAGTTAATCAATTGTAAAAAAACACACTATAATGCATGGAAAGAAATAACTATTTCTCCAAATAGGAAAAACTACCTTGTTTCTAAGAAAATAAGGTCTAAAGAGAAAATAAAGAAACACACAATGCTTATAACGGCAAAAAAGTCAACAACTTCCCTCATATAATCAAGTTCTAAAAATAGCAACAAGGCAATACTGCAAAAAAGCAAAAGTTATAGCCTCTAACGGCTAGGAAAGGGAAAGAATGGTGCATGAAACAGAACCACACATTAAGATAATTTAGCAGCCAGGTCCCAACAGAACAAGCAAACAAGGTGGTTACCTCCCTGATATCAAAAACAACATAAAAATAAGAATTCTCCAGCAAAGCTAAAAGGTAAAAGCCTTGATGTAAAAGGAAGGGAAACAGTGGTGAATGAAAATAAAACCATGTATAAAGATAATTAGTATATTGCCAGGTGCAAACAGAACAAGCAAACAACATGATCGCTTCCCTCATGCAATTGAGAATATAACAACAACATAGCAGAACTGCAGCAAAGCAAAATATAAAAGCCTATGATGGGAAAGGAACGGGGAAAATGGTGAATTAGAAAGAAACTATGCATAAACATAACAACATATCCAAGGAATAAGCAAACAAAGTGGCACATAACACCTAGAAGATCTAGATATTCAACCAAAAGCTAGCAGGCCCATAATCAACATAATTAGTCACTCGCACTAATGCCGGTAGTGCAGAATAGAGGGGCTCTCACCTGTATTAAGATAAATCGCCACCTTAATCAGCTAAATAAAAGGAAAAAGAGATACACCCAAATGACTCATGTCATAAGAAATCCAGCTAACTTTGAATTTTGATTACACCGAAAGCAATAGATTGATTCTTATGGAACCCCTCTAAAAAGTATGCTAGTGTTCCTTAGGAAGGATCAATTAGCCAAATGAATAAGAAATAGTAGACACTGGGCACTGATAAACTAGTCAAAAAAAGAGCCACACCGCTAAAAGACCAGGACAGAAAATCACATGCAATGGTGCAAAGAAATAAAATCCCAAAGGAAGAACTTACCACTCAGCATCTTCAATAGGCACATTATTTGGCCTCTCAACCATATCCAAACCACTGACTACCACTAAACGAACTCGGTTTTCTTCTTGTATAACTAATTCTGGAAACCTGTCCTTGTTTCAAGGGAAGTTGTAAGTTCTCTTCTTTTATATATAAAACCTATAATCAATTAAAGGAGCCACATTACATTTTCAAGAAAATGTAATAAGACGTAATGCTTATTATCCTCATAATGTTGAGGAAAAGAGAATACTACCTTTTTTAGGAAAATTTGTTGCCAATCTTCTGTACAAACCACCTGCAGCTTCAAGGACTAACCCAATAGTCTTATCGCGAATGCCATTCAAGTAAGCAAGCCTCAAGTTTACATCATTAACTAAAGTTTCATACAAATTAGCAACATACATTAAGGGCAAAGCGAACCTATGATCGCCTTCATATTGTACATCTCTTGTCTTTCCCTTACTGAGTTTGTCTTGTCCTGACTGAGCATTGTAGTCAGCAGGTAACTCATTATCAACCACTTCAATCACATGGTCATTAATAAAATGATCCACTATGATTTGCAAAATTCTGGCCCTTGCTGATTCAATAGGCAAAACATCTGTGGTTTAAGAAAAGTTCAATTTTGGAAAAAGTGTCAATTCCCATTCACAGAATTTTATAATAAATTTCAAAGTTAGAAGCAATAATACTATTAAAGAATTAAATTATAAAAACTTAATTTCAAATAAATAATCTTGATTTTACTTTTATATAGAACAATTATGTTGGAACTACTATTGCATTTTACTCTTTTGCCTTTATTTGTAGCAATTTTTGGAAAAGGTGTAAATTCCCATTCACAGAATTTTATGATAAATTTGAAAGGTAGAAACAATTATACTATTAAAGAATTAAATTATAAAAACTTAATTTCAAATAAATAATCATGATTTTACTTTTATATAGAACAATTATGTTAGAATTACTACTGCACTTTAGTCATTTGCCTTTATCTATAACAAATTTTTTTCAGGAAGAAAAAAAACAAATAAAAAAAAGCACAACAAAATCAATGACAAAAAATAGCCTATACGGCCTTGTAAAAATAAATAAAACCAAAAAATAAAGCCTCAACAATTAAATCAGGTTTCTTTTTTACCTTCAATTGTCAAAATACTGAAAGCTCCTCTGGAAGAGTCGCTATTGTCTAAGCTATACCGATCCTCATCCTCCGCTCGAACGCCGTGAATTGGCAAAGAATTTTTATAAGATATACGCATACACTGCTGGAACAAACAAATTTTCATAAAAATTAGAAAAAAAATCGTGCACGGACAACAGTAGTGGAATCGTGGTGATCGTTATCATGGTGATCCAAGGCATCAGCAGCATCAATGGCGTCGATTTCAGAAGGGCGAGAATCAACGGTGTTGAGATCGTGAAGAGAAGCGGCTACAAAGGAATTAGTCTAGTGTTGGACTGGAAGCTTACTCCCCATCCTTTTAATTCAGCAATTTCTTCTTTCGCGTCGCTGTTTTTGGCTGCGAAAGAGAAAGACAAAGAGAAAGAGAGAGTCTTAGAGGAGAAGCCATGGTTGTAGCAAGCTTTGGGTTTTTCTTTTATATTGGTTTGACTGCGCGGAGGGGAGGGAGGGAAGGCCAAACTTTGGCTTTAACGGCTATTTACAGAACAAAACTGAAGAAAAAACCAAGCCTGAAACCATACCTGAAACCCAAACCTCACTCTATTGTCCACACCTCTTCCCAAACCATTAGGTTTTGACTCCTTTTTCTTTTATAAACTACTTTGGACATTTAGCTCTCGACGAAGTCGTTTCGGTATATATTGTCATTAAACACCTTTTTTTTTTTTTTTCATTTCTTCAAAGCCAAATTTTTTCTCATATACTACTAGTTTATTACTCGTAAAATACATAATTAAATTATAAAAACCCAAATTGACATACATGAAAAGAAATCGTCAATTAATTTCAAATGTGAATTTTTTTCAGAAATTGAAATTTTTAATTCTTTGAAACGAGAATTCCACACACTTAATATTGAAATATAATTTTTAAAAAGATATTAGGTTTGAAACCTGAAACATTAGAATAAAATATTTCATTTAAAACTCAAAATTAGATTTGATATTTCGTATATTTATATTATATAAAATATTAATAATTTGTATATTTATATTTTATTTTATATAAAAATTACATATCTTAATTTATATCAAAATAAAAATATGAAATATAAAATTTTTTTATTCTGTTAAATACATATAATTTTCGTAAAAATTTTAAATTATATCACTTTTATATTTTTTATTCATATCATATCACTTTATCATATTTTAAATTATAAAATCTACTTAAAAAGTGGTTTGACATATCTGTGAAAAGAATAAAATTCAAAAGAATTTTGCAAACTATTCAAACTTTTGATAAAATCATATTTGGTGTTTTAACATGTTCAAATGGCTCCAAGATGCAGCGGCCCCAGAAACCTGACGCGGTATCGACCACTGTCTGTGCGGCTTTCTGCTTCACTATCTCTGTTGCCTTCAATGCACATAATCCTGGAGCAAATCAGAGTAATTATGCATGGAAAATTTCAGTTTCTACGAAGGATAAATCGTTCGTTCCTGAAAAAAAAGATACATCAGTTTTAATAATTGGTTAGAACACAGAAAGTTGGTATTAATACAAGTAATAGTTATTAATTAGAAATATCACTTTGGGGGAATCCTCCAGGAAAAAAAAAAGGCAATCAAACTCAAAAGTTAAAACTGTCTGCTACAAACTTGGATGAAGATAAAAGAAAATCTAATCAATAAAATACCCATAAGACCGATATCAATGTATCACTAGCATTGAAGAATTTTGACATATAACCGAAAAAATTGATTCATCGATAAACATGGAATTGAAAACCAAAAAGAAACCAACTAACAGTTTTGTGGCACTTTTTCCCCACATAAAATAGAGAAAATTTACTTGATAAAGAAAACAGTATCATCTGCTCTAAACCTCTTTATGGGCACTGACAATCAGAGTACAAGACTTTATGCTGACTGCAAATGAAGCTTTGCTTGACCTAAATGATAAATGTCAACAAAAACTTAATAAAATGAAACCATTCGCAGCTAGCACAATACAGATTAATTGAAAAGCAACTCTGACAGCTAATTTAGAAAAAAGATGTCTTAATTGATGATGAAAGGCACATTGGGATTCTTGAACAACAAACTCTAATTAAATTACTTACAGTTCAACATAAGCTAAAAGAAAATTTCAGAAAAGGTTCTTCCTGTGGCATAGGTGTAAACTCAGACTAGGAGCTCTCTACCAGGAGAGTGCACATTGTAACCATGGACATTATTGTATTTGTTGACCGTCATATAACCACACTATAAGTAAAAACCCAGAAGCATTGGCAAACAACGGTAAAAGATAATTGTTTACCCTCTCATTCAGTGGCGTGAAAATATTGTCTTTGTCAGAGCAAAGATGCCTATCAACTAAAGAAGCATAGCCGTCAATGAAAGCTTGTAAAGTATTTAATTCTTCCTTTGTCAAAACCTACTTCTCAGCTGAAGTCATCTGACTTCCATGTCAGCCTTCACGCTTGAAACCTATTAAGACAAAGGAAACACTATTGAATAGACATGTGCTGTATAGTAAAGCACATTTTTTGTCCTTTGAATAACTTACGGCACATTTTGTTAGAGGCAGCAAGAAAGGATTTGGGGACAGTCTCCTCAAGAATGTTTTATTAGAACCAGCTAAAGTGACACAGAGAAAGTCTCTTATGGTGACAAGAAATCAGTAGTTAGCATTCAGACCTTGAGCAGTGCTGAATAGTTTATTAATACACACAGGTTTTATTTTGAAGAACTAACCCTAACAGAGAGCTTTGTCACATAGATGTGTGCTCATAAAGAAAAAGAAACAAAGAATGTCAATAACTATGGCAGTTTATTGGTGCAAAACAACTGTTGGAGCCTGAAGTGTAAACAGCCTTAAGCATATAGATCAAGATCAAAAATTCAAATCACCAGGAGAGGATCTATTGTCAAGTGGCCACAATTTACAGCTGTTTTTAATTCTTTGAAATGTTTAGTTGCTTTTAAATATTAGAACCTTTTAACCCGTCCAAGTAAGGATAAACCCCATCACTTTTAATATTTCATCATAATATAAGAAATAAAAGCAATATGCAAGCGTATGTGAAACAAATCTAGTTTTGTCATTTTTTTTCTAGACGGTCTTATACTGTGATTTCATCTTATAAAAACTATGCATAGACAAGATCCACATTTCCCAATGTTTCAACATATTGAAGAAACCAAAATTTTCATTTGTGACTATCACTCACCAGACACCATCAATGTATGGAAGATTTGATCTGGGTAAGCATGGTGCACCAAAAGCTGATTTGACTCCAAAAGGAAACATCTTCTGGTCGCAGGTTTTGCATCACTAAAGAATGACTCTGGAAGGATTCTTTATCAGCAAACCTGCTCAAATATGTTTGCATTCTCACAACAAGGAATGACTCAGGTTCCTATTCTTTATTATGGTACATCCCTGTCCACTGATTCAAGTTTTCTACACAGATTGAACAAATTATGAATGACCAAACAATTAGACCTTACGTTTGTACACTTGGAACAGCATGATGGATGAGGCTAGTAATTAAACCCCTCTTAGCCATTTCATTTTGCAACTCAATGGCTTCAACAACATGTCCTAGCTCATAGTACTTCCTTAATACACCAATGCAAAGAATCTCATCAGGAAGGATATGCTTGCTTATCATCTCATCCAGAAATTTTCTTGCTTGCTGTAACTGACCACATTGGCAAAACCCCCAAACCAGGGAAGTGTAAGCTGGCAAATCAAGCTCCATGCCCATTTCAATCATTTTGTTCAACAGATTCAAAGCTTCTTGAAAATTTCCACGCTTTAAATTTCCATCTATCAAAGCAGTGTAAGCAGTTTTATCTGGAACCAAATTTTTGCTTAGCATTTCATCAAACATATTTTTGGCCGCTTCAATGAAATTATTCTTACAGAGGCCATCAATCAATACCGTATAAACTGCGACATTAGGTTGCAAATTGAACTCCAGCATTCTATTGAAATAATTAATTGCCTCTAGAACCAGTCCTGTTTTGCACAAGCCATCAACCAATACACAAAAAGTCACAACTGTAACTTCAATACCCAGGTCCCACATTTCTTCTAGTAGATTCAGTGCCTCAGTGGTTTTTCCTGCCTTAAAATAAGAATCCATGACTGTAGTGTATATGACAGGATTTGGACTCAGTCCAGATTCCTTCATTTCACCCAAGACAAGTTTAGTTTCTTCTATCTTATCCTGATAGCATAGTCCCCAAATAACAGTTCCATAAAACAACAGGTCAGGTTTAATGCTTTTCTCCTTCATTTCTTTCAAAAGATTCAAGGCATACTCCATCTTCTTAACTTTCATATAGCCATGAGCAAGGGCAGTATAAATTTGCACATTAGGTGTTAATCCAGCTTTCAGCATTGCCCTAAAAATTTCCTCTGCTTCCTTTGTTCGCCCTGCTTCACAAAGACCATCGATTATAGTTGTATATGTAACAATGTTCAAGTCAATATTTGCCTGCAACATCTCATTAGCCAGCTTCAATGCTTCAGTTAGATTGCCAGCTTTACAATTTGCATCAATTAAAGAAGTATAAGTGACTCATTGGGTAAAAGACCAAGCCGCCTCATATCAACTAAGAATTTAACCCCTTGTTGCATCATCCCTTCCTTGCAAAAAGCATCAATTAATGTGCTATAAGTAACAACATTTGGTTTCAACCCCTTATTCCTCATTTCACGAAAAAATTCAAAAGCCTGAAGCATCCTCTGAAATTTACAAAAGCAGTTTATTAAGGCATTGTATGTAATTACATCAGGCTCACACGCTACATTCTTCATCTCTTCAAATAAGAAAAGCACTTCATCCAATAATCCCACCTTTCCATATCCATCGATTAGGGAGTTATATGTGACAATATCCGGCGTGACGCCAATCTGTTTCATTTGTCCAAATAACATTCTTGCAGTGTCCAGTTCCCCTTCTTTGCACATATGATCTATCACTATATTATATGTGAATACTGATGGAGCAATGCCAGCCCCAACCATTTCCTCCAAAAACCTCCTAGATCGGTCCCTCCTCCCTGACTGGGAAAGCCTATGTAAAAGAGCATTACAAGAACGAACTTTAGGCAAAACTCTATACCTCTTCATTTTTGAAAAACATTGGCTAGCCTCCTCAAACATTCCCAAATCAACCAACACACTAAACAAACTATCAAACACCCCAAACCCATATCCACAAACATTCCTTGTAGACCACAGAACATCAAAAGGATCACAACCTGGCAACACTACCCCCCGCCTTGACAAAATGAATTCCTTAAGAACAGCAGTAGCATCAAAATACACTCTACCATGAAACAAAACGTGCACCAATATACAATAAGATTCACTTGTAGGGCTAAACCCTTTCTGGGTTTTCGCCCATTTGAAGAATTTCAATGCCAGTTGAGGGTCCTGTTTCAAACCAACCAAAATCTTAGATACCCAAATAGGTGCCAAGCTTGAATTAATCGAAGTTGCAATCTTTGGATCATTCCATGCGTCTTGTCGAATGATTTTACACATGGACTCCCTATTGAAATCATCTAAAAAAACGTTGGTATTACTCTTAGACTTGGTCCCATAAGGGAACTTGATCACGTAGAAGAAACTAGTGAATAAAATAAAAGGGCAGACAATAAGAGAGTCATTGGATGGTGGAGAAAAGGTGAGGTGATGAGCGTTTTGAAAGAGAGAAAAGGGGTGGCTTACTCTGACAGGTATTCTGCGGTTGATGTGGAAGAGACTGCTGAGGGATAGAAACATTTTGGTGAAGAAACATAGAGTTGTTGAGATTAGCCTCATTGTCGAAGCTGAGATTGCATCTTTGAACAAATTTGTATATTGTTGTGTGAGAACGGGAAACTAAGAAATGAGGTTTACTTGGTTTTGTTTAGGGTTTAACAGTGTAGCAGAGCAGAAGTTCTAGGTTTATGGGTGATTGACTGTAGGCTGTAGGCCGTGGCCAGCTGCTGAAGAGATTTTGGGCTTTCAGTGTCTCGGCGATTCAGCCCACTCCAACCCAAACAAATTTATTTAGTATACCTTAATCGTTAAATCTTTTTGTTTTGCTTAATTTTTTGAAAAAAAAAATTTAAGAAAATATTTTTCAAAGTATTTTGTTTACACAATTTAAATAATTTTTCAAGAAGAAAAAATTATTGCATGGAATTTCATACCAAACAAAATAACGTACACAAGCAATTATTGACCCATCATTTTTTTCAACTTTATTTATTGCCTGGTTGTCTGCTCATCAAAAATATTTAAGATTACGTGACCGGTGACCTCACATATAATATTCATTAATGTTTAATCCAAAAGTTAACTAAAATAACAAAATATAATAATAAAATCCAAAAATATATTTGCAAATTTTTTTTTAAGTTTTAAGCCGTAGAATTAAATTTTAATAATTAAAAGTAAAAGCTTATAATTTTATCAATAAACTATATTATTAAAAACAGTGATTCAAAGATTACACTTGTTCAAAATAAAAGACCTGATTTGTGTAACCATACCTTATTGCCTCCGTATTTTAGCTAAATTAAATTGCTTTTAAGCTGCTAATTCTAGAAAGAAAGAATGAGTGAAAATTGGAGACTTTATTCCAAAGAGTAAAAATTGAAGAATATTTTAATTTAGAGAAATTATTTAATATACTAATAAAAAAATTTATTTAATACATTAATAATAAAATTTTTTAACTTCAGAAACAAAATTACAATAATAATACATGTCTTTTATATATTTAAAAAAAATTAATTTAAAATTTTAATATTTATTATCATCTTAATCCTATATGTATAATTAAAAAATTTTATTATCAGTATATCAAATAATTTTTCTTTTAATTTATGTCTATCGAATGCCATAAAAATGAGATGGCTTTGGCAATAAAGTGTAGTTTATTCCACTTATATAAAAGATGGTCTTTCATTCTTTGTTCTGTCACTGCCATTCAAGAATCCAACATAAAAGGAATCCATCCACCGACGAATTCGTGCTATGTTAAAGGTCACGTAAGCTAGCAGGTAACCAAAATTTGATAATAGCAGTTATGTAGCATATTCAGCAAGAGACTTCCAAATAAAATAAATCCCAAGTTGTTCGAGCACCCAATATGCTAAAACAAATTGAGCATAGATTAAACCAGCTGCATTCACACAAACTTGAAGGGAACTTATGGAAGACTTTAGCTATGGAGAAGAGTTTACACTGGAGAAGAAAATGAAAGAGAAGACATGTTTGTTTTAAAAAGAAAGACAAAAGATATGACAGGATAGGAAGGCAACATAGAAATTGTGCAGCAGAGAATAAAATAGAGAATTGGAGATTAATGAAAATTTTCTTATTCTCGTTCTACTTTTCCTGCCATGCGCCTAGTAATCAAGTTCAACAGGTGGGCACCAGAAAAGGCCTCAAGCATAAGAAAAATCCCCATTCAATCCGCTTTTAAATACAATGAGAAAGTTTTAATTGACACAAGGGCAAAACTTAATGTCCCTACTTCTAAAATGAAATTCCAATATAGCTAACTCTTGATCAGAAAAAGCAACCTAAATGAGCTCAAAGGCACTCCACAACACCGGAATAAATCATAGGGACTGCCAAGTAGTCTATATGACCATCTCCATCTACCCATCACTCATGAAAACATGACTCCTAGCTTCTTTGCAAAGTCATCACCATCTTCACCATCTTCCTCCTCTATGTATTCCTCTTCAGGGTCCACATTTTCACCCTCCTCATAGTTATATTCTCCTTCATCACCCTGATCATAATAATAATCTCCATCCCTCTGGTCATCTGCCTCAAGCTCGTGATCTTCCATCCTCTCATCCGCAATAGTCCCATCCTGAGTCTCACGCTCACTTGTGCTGTGTAGTTGAGATGATTCACCATGAGTGACTTCCGTTGTTCCAATATCTGCAGTTGTGGACTTGGATTCTTCCTTCCTATTGGCCTCTTCCGGCGTCACTGAAACTACTGTATTAGTGGAGCTGCTAATCAAGCTTCCCTTGCTTTGTTTCTGGTTAACATCTTTATTTACAGATGCTATACCACTTCCAGAAGCTGCAACTTCAGATTGTCTCTTTCTCTTCAGAATCACACTTAAAGGCATTGGCCCTTCAAACGAAAGATCACCTTCAGTTTGTTGATAATCCTCTATGCTCTTTCGCTTTCCAAGAGAATGGTACTCCTTATTATCAGTATTCTTCTCAACTTTCAGCTCTGCAAGACTTTTCGGACCTGCAAAATCAGCATTCCTCTCGCCCATTATTTCTCTCCTAATCCTCAAACCCCCAAAATTCCGACCTTCTTTATTGTTGAATTCTCCTTCCACCCTTCCTTTTATTCTGTCACGGAGCCCCCCGTGGTGGGAAGAGATTTGCGGCTTTCCAGGAGAGAGCCATCCCAAATTTCGCCCCCTTTCTATCTCTCTTTCAGAACGCAAATCAGTCCCATTGACTAGAGATTTCCCAGGAAGCTTTATTCTACCCCGAAGACGATTACTAAGAGAACTATCATGTGGAGGTAAATGGTAAGAGTCTCTAAGAGAGCCCCGGAAATTTCGCTCCCCTTCATGGTTTTCCAGGGCATGATCATGATTGACAACAGACCTCAGGCCATTAACCCTCCTATGCTTAGATAAACGATGGCGTAGATCTGACTCCTCAACATGATTAAGACTTTCAGCTCTTGAGTAACCCCATCTCTCCAGAGTAGATGATCCCAGAGATATCCTCTCAGATGAAGCCCTCTGTTGGTCCCAACCATAATTCCCTTTCACATGGTCAAATGAATCATAGCCTCGTGCATCATGAAACATTTCTGGATCAACATCAGATATGGCATCATGATTAGTAGACTGACTAATGTCATATTCATTCACATTCCTTGCCTCATGTCCTCTTGTACCTCCATAGTGATCTTCACCATGGTAGAAATCAGAATCTCTGAGCTCATCATCCACAAGAACATCAAAACCAGGAGAAGATTCCCTTAAAAATTCGTCAGTGTCCCTACCACCATGAAAACTTGGTTCATCTAAAGCATGGGCCTGAAGCAAGCAATTAGAACGGCCCACATAGCCACCATTAACAACTGAAGTAGTATTTGTTCCTTTGTGTCGAGGAAGTTCCTCATCCAAGCCTGTCGGACATGGCACATTTCTCTCAGTTCCAGTACCAATTCTAGTGAAAGCAGCTTCGACTTTTGGAGTAAGTTTACCTTCAGGAGCTACTCCAACTGTCTTTGACACATTAGTCGAGGGAAACTTCTGCAACTGAGATGTTTCAGGGGCACCAAAAGCCTTCTTCAAAGAATGAGGCTCAGTAGTAGTGGTAGTTGCTGCTGGCTGTGGGGCTTTATTACTTGTAGTTGGACCATGCAAAAAAGCACATCTATCACCTTTTAAGCAAAGCCCCTTCTGGAAGAAAATACATGGCACTGCTTGTTTGTTGGAACTGTAAGAAGCACCCTGGTTGTAAGGGGTATGACTAGCAGGTGTTGGTGTTGCTGCTGCATTCAAAGAAGACATGGAAGAACCAGCTGGAGCTGCTACTTGGGTTCCCAACAAGCCATCAAGGGGCTGAAGAGACACCACCAAAATTACACAAGAACATTATTACAACCAGTCCAACGTACATCCACTACATGGGTGAAATAGCTAGATAAAATAACTTGCTTATTTAAATTTAAAAATTAAAATAATAAAAAATAAAGAATTTATAGATCTCTTAAAATCTAAAAAAGAGAAAAAGTTAGAATAAGTACGCATAGAAGTAAAATTATGGACTCCAACCCTAAGTTTCAAGGAAAGTAAATAACAAATATAATCTTGTTAATACATATTTTTCATTTTATGATTTTTTTGTCTATTTTCCAAGTGAGTTGGTGCCACTTGACTTGTTTGGAAAATATTCTAATCTGATTGTCCACAATTTTCGAAACTTAACTGTCAAAACACATAATGAAAAAGAAATAAAATCCCTATACAACCTTGTAAGACTAGCATAGCACAGAAATGTTACTGTTGCCGCAAGTGAAGAGAAGAAACTTACAGGGTGCCGAAATCCACATTTCGGGTTCAAGCAATTACCATTCAACCAGTAATAACAATCCCTTGGATTAATCCGGGCATATTCACTATGGCGATACTCACATTCACTTCCCTATTGGCATGGACAAGGGAAAAGGAATATCAGTTACAGAATCCAATGACCATTAATGACAAAAAATTGCATAGCAGTACGGAAAATATGCCCACAGCATCTTTCAATGTATGAAGTATAGCATGACATAATTGACATTATGCCATCTAAAAATAATTGTTTGTTATAAACAAAATGATGCAGCTGATGAAGACTGGTTAACAAAGCAACTTCACAGATGAAAAAACCAATTTCTACAAAAGAACTAAACAACAAATGCAAACAAACAACAAATAGTTCCCATAGGCTAAAAGTGAAATTGCAATCAGAAGACAACAGGAACAGTCTTGGAATGACAGTAATAGAGATGATGCAGCCAAGTATACCATTATAATCACAACATAAATGAATTGCAATGGAAACACTAAATTCTAAAAATACTCTTCTTTTTTACCCTTAGAAAGGGTTGGTTGACAGGAACATCAATGTTTCCCAGTCTTTTACAGCAACAACTTAAAGTTGTAACAGAATCAGATCAAATACAATACGCTAAAAAATCAATGCACCAAGACTAACAATAATTCAGCAAATAATTATATATTTAACAGCATATCCTTTATTAGCCAAATATATATATATAACACGGCCTTTGGAGCAAAAGCAATCATTTTGTGTAGTATATATATAAAAGGCACATCAAGGGAAAGATTCCATATATTTCCTGATGAAATTCACTAGGGTTTTACCACCAAGACACTTAGATAAACTAGTAAGATCTAACCTTTAAAAAAAAAACAAGTGTTCACTTTTCCAATTACATTTAAAAATTTTTCATTCAAAGTTAAATAAACAACTAAACAAAGAGCCATCAGAGGGAAGGAAAGTAAAGGGAAAATCTCAAACCCCAATTAACGTAACAATGCAAGATCCAAGAAAGAACAAGATCTTGTCTGAAACCCAAAAAGCCCTAAGAAAAAACCTAACCTTTTTGCAGGTTAAAGGGGAAGCAAGAAAGTAAACGCAATCCGTGTTCCTCTTCAAAGCCTCTTCTTCAGCCGATGTTTTCGTAGCCCCTAACACCGCCATCGCCGCCTGTTTCTGCTGTTGCGGTTGCTGTTGTTGGTGGTGGTGGTGTTGCGTAGCCGCTACCATGGCAGATTCTTTAATTTAAGATATTAAAATCCCCAACAAAAAACAAATCCTCTTTTTATTAGATCGAAACTTTTAATGAAACAGAAAGAGACAGACAGATTTAAGATTATGTAAGATGAGGAAGAGAGGAAGAGGAGGAGCCGCCTGGAAGAGATTGGGTGTTGAGGGGATGAAGGAAATTAGAAAGAAAAAGCCTAAAAGAGTAAGCTAAAAAATAATAGAAGAGAAAAGAAAAAGAGTAAATAAAAGAAGGAACGAGAGAGAAAGGGCAGTGAAGAGAGAGAAGATGTGAGATGAGTGGTGAATGGTAATGTGTTCTTTTTTTTAGTTCGTTTTAAGAAGGAGTTTTTGTGTTCTGTCTTTCCGGTTCGACCGTGCTTCAACTCTGTTCTGTTCTACCACGTGTTACTTTTTAACTGGTCACATCACTTTTAGTTCACATATATTTTTTTCGCTTCAATACAAATTTGGGAGATAAGTATTCTAATTTCGAATGAAAAAGTTTTGAATAATTGTTTTAGTAATTTATTAGTTGAAATTTTAATTTTAGTGATTAGAATTTAAATTTTAAGAATTTAAAATCTCTTAGTATAAGAGAACACTAATTGAGACTACTTATAAATGAAATTTATTTGTTGATATATGACATAAAATTTTTGAATAAAAAAAGTGTTGCAAATGTTGAAATACAAAATTTTCATAGTTAATGTGAAATTTTTACCGGACACCGTAGTGTTACCATGATGAATTTAACTCTTTTTATAAAGTTAAACCTTGATATACTTTCTCATGTCAAAAAGAAAAATACAAAAATAAAAATTAATATGAAATAATTGCAAATTTTGCTTTGAATAAAATAAAATTAACCAATTAACTCTTGAATCAATTAACATATATTTAAAATTGGTGATTAAAAATTACGAATTTAAAAAAATTTATACGTATAATTTTTTTAATCAAGTAAATATAACATAAGAGGTTTAAAAGTAGACACTAAGGTAATAAAAAATAGAGTTGACATAAAAATGCAGAACCATTGTTCTTGCTAACAAATTATTGGTTCAACCACCCGATTCATTTAAATATTTCCAAAAACAAATTAAATGTTTTGTACATTAATAATGTGGTAAGCTCCACTCTCCTATACAAAGCACAAACTTGTGAACAAACAAAACCTTATAATCAACTACAATCAACCTCGAGAAGAAAATAAACTGCTATAACATAGGATTCAAATTTTCTTTATCAAAAAAGAATCAATATCATGAAAAAAATGGTTCAAGAAAACAATTATACATTACATGCATGCAACGAGAAATGCAGATGCACACATGTATGCTCATCAAAGATAAAGGACAAGCAGCATCTCCAAACCGGAAAATGGGGGAAGCACTGGAAGCGGAAGGACTAGCACTAAAAAATACCTGCAATTATAAGCATGCATGATTAAATGTCTTCAAATCAGCTACAGCATCATAATAAAGGCTTTGATTTGTGAGCAAAAATCCAGAAATATATATGCAGATATGATGCAATACATTTACAAACAAATAGCAATTCTGATCGTATGGATTATGGAGTATTATGGACAATTCAAGTATTATTTATCAACTTCAAGACTTGACAAGGTTGTCGGAAAGTTAACTAAGAATTTATGTCTTTATCTTCGCATTGCAATATCATTACTATAGTCTTTCAGTTTTTACGTTTTGGATTTATGTATGTAAAGATATGCATGCGTATGTGCATATATAAAACGAGAGTTAGTTTCCTAATGAATGTATTTATCTATACTCTGATCAACTATAAACAATAAATTAAAAACATGATAGCCCTTTTACTTGGATTTTTTTTTAATTTAAATCAACAAAGGTAAAAGTTTTACCTTGTACCAAAGTCCTTACAAAGTCAAAAGTTGCTGGTGTCAATGTCTGGATGACCAACCCCACCCTTTCTATTTAACCAGCCAAACTGGATCAGAACAAGGTTCTAAGTTGGATGGTACTCTTGACCCAGGTTTCGACCCACCCATTCAATTAAAATAATAAAAGACTAAGAAAATGGTAAAAGACAATCAAAGGGCATTCAAGTAACACGCACGATTGTAGACACATATGTATAGATAGGTACATGCATGCATCTACATATATTTAGTATTAATGCATGTGCCTATATTTGTAAGTATATATATATATATATATATATATATATATATATATTGTATGCAAGTATATGTATATATAGGCATGCACTCCATTTAGATCAATAAGTACATATGTATGTATGATAGCAGTAGCAAGACAGTTGATTTGGTACAACACGATAGAATCAAGGCCAGCTCCATCAATAGTAATTTTACCTACATGTCAAGCATGAAAAAAGATCATATCCAAGCGTTTTGGGTCTTACCTCTATCAGTAAAAAAAATGGGGAAAGACCATTTTCTTTGTCAAAGAAACATTTAGAGCTCAAGTGATCGATCATATATCAGCTGTTTGGGACAAATGCAGCAAGGGCATTAGCATGTGCAGGTGGAAGGTTGCTCAGTAAGGGTTGCATCTCTTGCCCATAAAGTGAAATTAGGTGAGAAAAAGCCCTTCCCACTTGGGCTTTAACTTCAGAAGTTTCAGCTGGAGACACCAGAACTTGAGCAAAAATATTTACCAGCTCAGGGACATGAGAGAGTATCTGCTTTGTGCATGCAAAAGAGAAAGAGAAGGGGGGGGGGGGGGGGGGAACAAAGTCAACAAAAGACTATCACTTCTGAAATTAAGTCCAGAACCATAAATGTTTAACAAAGCTTCCAGTTGACAAATACTTATTAATTATAGTAAGTTTGCCATCCTGGTCAGGAATTAGACAAATACCTGGGGATTAGATGACAAAACAAGCATAGATACACAATTATAAACAGCCATGGACTCCTCATGATCTTCTTTTAATGGAAGAACTCTCAAAAAAACAGGAAGAACCTGTGAAATGTAACCAAGTTATAAAGAGATAAGAACAACACATTAGATATGGAAGGGGTGTGGGGCAGGGTGATGTTGTAGGGCAAGCAGATCAGTTGGAAAGAAGACAAGATTAACCTGGTTCAATGGGATGGATTGCGGATGCACCATTATCATCCTTGCAACAGCACCAGCAGCGTTATCCCTGACAGCATCATCTGGCTCAGGTTCCCCAAATAATGGGTAAAGCCCACGCAATATATCATTGTAATATCTATTATTGATGAGTGGAAAAGCTACATTCAGGGATGGAACATTGTGGAAAAAGTCTAGAACAATGACATAATATCTAATTAATTTTAATATTGTCATAGTTTGAAGACAATAATGTAAAAAATAGTCCACAGAAATCTGCAAGACACAATGAAAACACATTTCAAAACAAGGAAATAAGGGAAAAGAATAAGAGTGGGTGAGGGAGGGCATGGGCTGGAAAAGGATACTTCAAAGATGACTCTCCCCCATTTTTGGCCAGCTCTCCCGCACAAAATGCAGCATTCCTTCTATTTGTTGCTGATGATGATGCTAACTCTTTAAGCACCAAGGGCATCAGTCTCTGAAACATGGAAAAAAAGTTTCAGTAAACAGCCGCATATGTTTGAAAACCAACAAAGACATAAAATTGACTGCCATCTTCTACTTGTAGCCTTTGCTACTTTCTTTTGGCTTCTGAAAGCAAGAAGCAAAATGTCTGTTTGAATATGGAACTAAACAATACTTTTGACATAAAGAACTAAAAATGCTTTTCATGAATTGAAATTTAAAAGTAACTTTTTATAACAAGATGCATGATTTTAATACAGACCAACTTTTTAATACAGACCAACTATGTTAAAATTAGCATTGCCATCTTATTCATTTGTTCAAATTTTAGTCATCATTTTGCTTGCTATACTTCACTTTTGCTTTTTGACAGCTGTTTAGGTAACAAAAAGCACAATAGTAAAAGCAAGAACCAAATAAAGCCTAAACAATTGAAAATTCTGATTAAATTACATCAATATAGCTTGCAATTGGAGCACCCATGTCCTGCGCAACTTCAGCAAGACAAGCCACCACCATAGTTCGATCTTGTGGAGGGCGTGAAGCTCTCTGCACTCAGCAACAAACAAATATAATATGCTAATTATAGAAATCATAACTTCATACTCAACTACTATAACCCACCGCAAATTTCATCAGAGGTTCAAATAGTTTTGCAAATATAGGAGCAAAGTGAGAACCCATTGACTTAGCAAATGCAGGTAAAAGATCAGAAACTGCATCCATTAGAATTTCATCATGTTCGGCATCATCATCATCAATATCACTCCCATTCTCTAATTGCTGACATGCTGATTCCTCCTGAAGCAATGTCAAAGTAGCATCCACAAGCTGAGACAAATCTGAAAAACCAGATAAAATGAGAAATGATATCGACAATAAATATTTGATCTACCCCCGAAAGATTTTTGCACCAAGGATTCTTAACAGGGAGCAGTGAACTACTTACAAGGCTCTAGAGCCATATAACCATAATCCTTGATGATATCAGCTATGCTCATACAAGCTTGGGCAACAACTTCCTTGTCATCATCTTCAGTCATAGTCTTGATATAGATATTAATCACTGTATCTACAAAATGAACGAACTAAATCAGAACCCTATTACCAATGCAATCTGGAGAAGCATAAATATAAACTATAAACAGTTAATACCAAGAACTTCTTTTGCCTTCATTGACCCATCCTGCACAGCAAAAAACATTAAACTCTTATTAGCAGTGTATGAATTCACCTACTCTCAGTGTGTATGCAGACACGATACATTTATATGTACATATTTGCATGCATGAGGACCTGCATGACTGTCTGTAGTCTACGTCAATTTAGATAAAGACTCTTCTGTGAATATGCACACGCGCCAGCATGTGCATGTTGCTCAATCAAGTAGCTTATACACCAACAAATTTACCAAGGTAAAAGAGAAGCTTCGAAAACTACAAGCATGAGTGGAAGGACCATTGGGCAAATTCAAGACATACATATTGTACTCAAAGGTAGCAAAGTTTACGACACAAAATTCTAAACCACATTGGAATTGACATATCCAGCACAAAATTAAAGCTAGAATAATGATTAGATCACACAAAAGTAGAATTATTCCTTTGAATTCCATAAACATTAATCATTCTAAGAAAACTTGACAACCAGAACATCCACCCACCCCTCTCCTCTATCCCTCTTTTTACAGCACTCCAGAGGGTCAAATACAAGAAGAAGAGTCCACTAGAGAT